TTCCTATGGGAATCAGGCTGTGCTGACAACATGAAAGTATGCAAAGCTTCATACAAGCAGAGGACAACATAACGCTTGTATATTTTGACTTTCCCTCATTTGAATCATATTCTAGCCAACCTTTTCTTTCTCATATTACAAGTAGTTTTTCAGGAAGGAAAACAAAACAAAACAAACCCAAAGTTTCTTTCCTTTCTGGTTTTTTTTCTAGTGTTTCTGTGCTTTGCGTTGGTAACTTGCAAGAAAACAAGCTGCTTGGGTAGTTGTTCTTCAAAACCCTGACTTCTAGCAAGTCTGCCAGGCATCTCACTAGTGAAACCAAGGGCAGCACCTGGGAGCAGCGCAGTGAGAGCACACCCGCTGCTTGTCTGCCACGCTCACCTTCCCTGCAGACTGTTCTGGCAGTCGCCCTTCATTCCTTGCAGGATGCTGCCGAGAGCCGGGTAAAGTCTTCAGGAGCACCAAGAGCCGCTCTGCTCCTCTGCTGAGCACTGGCACCCAGAGCACTCTCTGAGGCTATTGGCCCACCACTGTCCTCCAGGTTTATCTCAGCTCTACCCCCGGTTTTGTCACTGTATCCTTCAATCCTCTCTCTCCCCATAAAAGTGTCTATCTGTCTCTTAAACTCACTTTACCATTTGCTTCTTTGACCTCACTTGGCAACTTATCCTTGTGTTTATTATTTGAGGTGGAATAGTTCTGGCTACATTCCTGGTTTTACTCTTAATTGTCTAATTTTTAGAATGGTGTCAGTGAGGTTGGGATTTGGGTTTGGGCTTTTTTTAACTCATCGCTCTTCTGTTTCATTAGGCTCCTTTGTGTCATCAGGATTTCCAATAACTAAAAGAATCCTAATGAATCTTTTATTGGATCTTCCCAAATATTGCAGCTGGGTTTTCCCATCCATTAGTGCCATTCTGAACGGCATACATCGCCTTTAATTACTTGATTGTTAATTGGAGGGGAGGGAGGGGGAAGGAGGATTTTCCCCAAGGAAGGAAGAGTTCCCCAGCTAAAAAGCTGAGTGACTCCCCCTGCCCGTACTTACCCCATGGGGAAGGTACAAACATGGCTTGAGTGGGACTGAGCAGCAGAACTTTTTCATGCCTTCTGGCAGCAGCAAGCCTGTGCATGCTGGTTGCCTTTGTGACCCACCTTACGTAAGGTCCAGGTGGCTCTAAGGTGTGGGGCTAAAAGTACCTTCCTGAAGCCCCTCAATCCATCCCAGAGCCTTGTCAGACTTTCGGGCAAGGTCACCGTATTGGATTTGCTGTCAGGTCACACTGATAATGGAAAAAGACTGCAAATGGCAGGGTTTTCCCAGTGCCTGTCTGGGCAAAGAGAAGGAGGAAGAAACACTAGTTTAAGTAAGTCACCTACCTGCACCTTCGGGAACTGTTCCTAGCCACTGTGAGGTTGGTTGGTGTGGCAGTGAAATGATCCTACTGACATCCTGAAACAGATAGGCTTGGCTGGAGTGGCTTCTGAAATGAACAGTTCTCCTAACCCACCATGGAAAGAGAAGGAAAGAGCTACTTCTTCGCAAGTCCCCCCTTCCCTTACAGAAAGCTGAAGGATGGACTGCCTCCAGGTCGGGTGCCTTTGTGCCTCCTGTCTGGTCAGGACAGTCTGTACCCATAAAGAATCTCACATGGACCAGCAGCAGAGCACGTGGTCACCGTTCAGACGTGTCAGCTCACACATCTTCCCAAAGCAGAAGGGACGTTTTGCTGGATTCACCTCCCTTAAAACAGTCAGTGCAAGTGAAACCCTGGATCCCAGCTGACACCACCAGAGAGAGAAGAGAGCACATTCCCTTTCCTACACAACACACCTTGTACACCCCAAAATGACAAGAAAAAGTAGGTAGAATTAACATTCTCCATTCTGGGGGGCTGCGGAAGCTGCAGGACAGGAGCAGCATGCCAGTCACGGTAGAACATTAACCATCAACCAAAATAACGTGTCCAGTTTATGAACAGAGGGAAGAGCTAGAAAAGATTTGCTCAATTAATCGTGGGATTGAACATTTTCCAGAGAGCTCAGGATACCTGGAAGATATAACAGAGCACAGCCTCCTCATCTTTCGCATGGAGGTCAAGCTCACCGAAACCCGGCCTGCTCACTGCAGAATGAGGATCTGCATGCTGCAAGAACCAGGGTCTGGGGGCTGCTTCTGAGAAATTCATGGAGTAAACCACTTCCATAAAGGTGGCCTACCTTGCTGATAGAATTCTGAAAACCAGGAAATGAAAGGGAGGCACATAAAATGCCTCTCATGACACAGGCTGTAAAACAACTAGGAATAAAAACAACTAAAATCTAGTAACGAACATTTACCACTGTCCTTCACTGTGCTAGGCAGGGCAGGGGATGTGATGATCTTCAACCGGTGGCACAGCAGAAAATGCTTTCACTGGACAAGTGGTGACGGCAGCTACAAAAGGACACGCTCTGTCGCTCACCAGCGCGTGCTTCGTGTCTGGTAGGCACCTACCATCGTGTTTTGGCACAGGACTCACCAAGCAGCAAACCGCTGGCTGTAGTCACTTACAGGTCGCCGGGAGCCCGGCCGTGCTGCAGCGCAGTTCTGGTTGGAGTTCACAGGACATAGATAGCTTTATTTACGTTTGACTAATGCAGACACAACTGGAGGCTGCTTTTTCTTCCTTGGTTTTTTTTTGGCTTTGAGTACAAGTGCTCGTGGCAGCTCTCTGGTTTTGGTGCAGGCTGAAAAACAGACTGTTTTGTAGCCGTGGCAGACTGCTGCTGGGTAAATCAGAGGACACTGTTACTGCGGCTGAACTTGCTCTCCAGAAAGCAGGAGGAGCTGCTTTATTTTTTAATTCTGTGCAGTTTTACGTACACCGTTCGCTCCAAATATTTGATGTTTGACACACTTGTTATGAGTTTCTCCAGAGAGATGCTGTCTTTTGGCAGCCAAAGATAAAGCTGACTGATACAAATGAGTCACAGTACCCCAACAGTAATTAGCAGTGATGCAATACCCATGCGAAAAAGAGGACTTGAAGAATTAACTGTTGAGTTTTTCTTGACGATGCAGCTGCACTTTAAGAGAGAAAGCTCAACCCATCACAGGACTCCATTGTGTACATTAGAGAAAAAAGCTTGGCAAGATACATTAAAGATTTTTGCTAAAGAGATACAAATATTTTGCAAGGTCAAAGGGCACTGAGGCAGGCTGTACTTACTTCCAAAGGAAAGCAGGCAGTGTGACAAAGAAACAGCAATATTTTTTTATCTGCATTTTCACACTTCATCATCTAGAGAGACTGTCTTTTTCAACCTGCTGAA